AGTTGTATAAGCATTTTATAAGTGATTATTAGGGACCAGGTGAAATCATTGTCTTCTGTGAATATGAAAACTGTTGTCATTGGTCATATTGAATCTCTTGAGGTGATGATGGTTATGTTCGAATTAGTTGTTGAAAAATAAAGAGGAATATATCTATGCCATCATCGAGAGCGTTTTTCGAAGGTGATTTTAATTATCTATTGAAAAAAAGTATTCATGATGATTTTAAATAATGAATCATTGCATCAAATACTATTCATACAGGGAATAATCAATATGAAATAGGAATGTGGCGAAAATTCGACTAGTGAATAGTGGTGTGAGCTGTTTTTTCTACTAGATACCCAACCTACTTTTGTTCTGAACACATTCAGAGCATATTTCATATTTCTAATAAGTGTCGAATATACAGTGTAAGTCAGAATAAGACTCACTGTTACATCAAGAGAGTTCTTCAGTTTTTCGCAAATATCTCTGAAACCTCTACATTTAGGCATATATTTAATCTGTTCAAGAGAAAAATATGAAGGAAAATATGGCGACATACAACGCTACTGGTTGACGAAATCAAAAAGATGAAAACTCCAAGTAATTACCTCATGATCAATCTGGAATAATATACTATGTTTGAATCTTTTTCCTCGATACAGGGGTTTTGAGAAATTCGTATAAACCTTAATATATTTCCTACTTTCGGCAAGAGCTCTCAGAGAGGATGAATTTTGGATATACGTTGATAGGATTCATCTACCTCAAAATGAGATGAGGAATCCGACTACGAAGTTCATCGCAGTCTTATTCTGGCTCACCCTGTATATTGTTTGCGATGAAATAATGATGCTCTGTTCGAATTTCGTTTAATGAAAGTGATCTGCCTGGCCTATATAAAAACGGCATATATTTTATTATCCCTATATCAATAAAACGATATCGAGTTGGTTGGGGGATCAAAATCAGCGTATCACTTAGAATAGAATTATCATAACGTAAATCACAAATCGTAATAAAACTGATAAAATTCGTTTGTACCAGTACTGGGAACGCTTTTAGCGAAATGACTTTTCTTCTATATATGACGGAATGGATTGAGGAAATAACCTTTATCTCATTTTTTTATGCTGAGTCGTATGTTCCATCTTTTCATAAACTTAAGTAAAGAAACGGAAGTTCTCATGGATTCATTCATATGATGATTGTACATTGAATTACAATGAATCTGAATCGAAATAATTTGTTATTATTGGTCAAGAATGATGAAATGATTGAGATTGCCCTGAATATGCACTTATACGAAATACTTCTAAATGTATACGAAAGGACTGAATGTGATCGCTGTTCGAATATATTTTCAACAGTGTTTTCATTGGTAACATACGCTTTATAGTTTTACTGTATCTAACGAGAGCTTCAGTCGAGAATTTTTGACATTGTATTTATTTGTGAACACCTACACTGAGAGAAAAAGTCGGTAGTAAATAGGCGCCAGTTACTATGCTTGAATCAATCTATACAGCATCAAATCGGAAGTCACCTCTATAATCCACAATAATTTGAAGAGAATAATCATAAATTTGCAGGTTTTCAATGAAGATTAGCTGACTCGGCAAACGTTGTTTTGCTATGTAAGTACATTATTTCCATAGAATATTTTTTTAGTTAAATATTCAATTCCAAAAATTTTATTATTTCATTCTCTACTTCTTTCTAGTTTGACCAACCATGTAAGCTTCTTAGATCTTCTAACTACTTACTATTTATGTTCAACTTCTCTTCAGTTTTCTGAACGACTATCCGTTTTCTAATTCTTTTCAGTTTGGCTATCTATAAAAACATGATTCATTGATTTTTTAAAACACTATATATTACAAAGCTCGATCGACATATTGTATCCGCCATCTTGAGTTTGTCAAATTTTATGGAAGAATCATAATTTCTAACCCTAAAAATCCCCAGATACCAATTTCAAATCGTAATCTCCGACTCCGAAAACCTTCAGATACTAATTTTGATATATGTAGAAGAGGAATTATAGCTTTCTTGGAACTATTGTGCAGAAACTGTTGCCAACGATCGATCATTCCGGAAATAGAAGTATTCTTTGACCTGAAACACCCAGTTGTATTCAGGATCAACGTTATCGAGCCTAAGTAGTCTTAAAAAACATACCTTTGATAGTCGATGGTCGTCCAAATGTGAAAGAGCTGCAGTGAGAATCAGACAAGAAAGTTTTGTTGAAGAAGTTTCCAGACGAACAATATAGTCTGGAGTATTTTAAATGAATTTTTAAAAATACAGCAATATTGTGCTCGCCTAGGAGAGAAGATTTAGCGTCAAAATACTATTTGTATACATATCTGATTACTCATAGTTAGAGAGTAAATAATTATTCATCTGCCGTAGCAAGAAAGCACTTGATTCAGTCGATTGTTTTCAGTATTGTTTTACTAACCTACTCTACATGCCATTGAGACTGACAAACAAAAATGTTTCAACATTCAAAGTTCCTCCGACTGCCAACTCACCATCTTGAATAACTCAATGGACTTCATGAATACAAAGTCCTTCGTTATTCTCCTCCTCATTCCATTCATGAGATTATAAGCTTCAACTGACACCAGCGCTTCATAAACTAATTATTTCTTTTATACATCCGAAATGGAAAGGTAGCGGCAAGAAGCCCACTTTTTATTTCACGAATCTAGAACTAGAAAGAGTTACAAAGGTAATAAAAGTCTTAATTTAAAGAGAAAACGGGTCACAGCTCAGCGAGCTAATGAGCAAAGTTGGGGATGAGGAAAAAAACGTGCGAATGGCTCCATCTCGTTTTATGCAGATTTCGGGGAGCATAGTTGGCTTGGGGAATGTAAAGATTTTGTCTGGACAGTCCACTGAAATCCCTATCTGCTAAGGAGCCATTCATTATCTGATAAAAATTCAGTCATCTTATTTGATGAAATTATGATAGTGAATACTGAAATCTGTATATGAGACAATAGGACAATATGATAATGAGAGAAATACTTGCATCAGTGTTCGTTTAGATAAGTCAAACAGGTCGCAAGTTCGAAACCAGAGTTTCAGAACACAATCGTATCATAGGAAACGATTTTGAAAAAGACTCTAACCTCAACTGTCTCACTGAACAAACTCAATTCGATAGGTCTAAATTATTCAACTCCTTTTTATTTTAACTATAATTATGTTCTATGTCACTTAGAATCAAAACATTCCTTGGTTTTTTACTTGACGTGTGTCATTCTGGAGTTGTAATAATAATAATAATAATGAATATACTTTATTGTCATGAAAGAATTTCTTCTTGTCGACAAAGCATGAAGTCAGTAAAGAGTATATATAAAATAAATATAAATTTACAACTATAATATTAAAATCACAATACAAAAACATTGAATGAATATTTTTTTGTCGAAATATGAAAATACTAACATACATAGGTATAAAAACAATCACAATCATGAATATGTAAGGAAACCTAATTAGAATGAAGTAATCACAAGCATTCTAATCAGCATACCCATATATTAGGTCATATCGTGTCATCGTAGAATTCTTTAAGGCTGTAATATGGTCTGAGCTTCAGTAGTTCTTTGACAGTTTTCCTGAATATTTCAATATTTATTAATGCACCCCTAACATGGTTTGGCAAGTGGTTATACATTTTAACACCATTGTAATACAAGGAATCTCTCACTAAAGACGTGCTGGGTATCGGCAGTTTCAAACTATTAATGCTGTGGCGTGTGGAATAATTGGACTGAGCTCTGTCAAATTTGGTGAAGTGTTTTCTCACCAAGCATACGGTGTCTAATATAAACAATAAACAAATATATCACTGTCAACATTTCATTTTCTTTGAACAATGGCCTACATGAGTCGCGAGGTTTGGCGTAAATATATCGAATTGTTCTTTTTTGAAGCACCTGCACAGTTTCAAGTAGGTCTAGGTTACACACTCCCCAGAAAGGTATCCCGTACCTTAAATGTGACTCAATTAAGGCATAATATGCTGTTTTAGCAGTCTGGGATCCAAGCTTTTTTGAAATTATACCCTCACTGCGTGGCATCCAGAGGATATTTTACTTTTCGACATGCCTATCAAATTTAAATTTTTTGTCTATGACGTCTCCCAAGAATTTGGTACAGTCTGTATTTTCAATGATTCCGTTATCAAGGAAAAAATTATTGATTGAGCATCTGAAAGTAACTATATTTGTTTCATTTATATTGAAAGATAGAAGATTCGAGTCACACCATAACTCGATCTTTTTTACATCGACAGATATGTTATTCTTCAGATCTTCTTCTGTGTTACTGTGTTTTGTCCTCAGCTTCATTATTGTCAAGTGTAATTTTGTCGATAGTCATTTGTGATTAGTTAACCTAATTCAACGAATTCAGACCAACATGTTGGTGCTTTTGAATATATTCTTTAAATCAGAGAAGTTTTCAAATTTAGGCTCTTATAGACCAAGTTATAATGTTTATTCCCTAACAGCTATCCATCCGCACGGTTTAAAAGAATGTCTAAGGTTATTAGAGTAATTTTCTTGTTCCACCAATAATGGTAGATATATTCAGACTCTTTAACAATACTTAAAAACTGAGATAAGCATTGTTTTCTTCTTACAGATTTCCTTCTCTATAAATTTCATGATGATGAAGGACTAATCCTTCGAAACATGTACTTCTGTCCATGACCGTTGGTCAGTATTGAATCGTTTAAGTGGTGGAGCTGTCATTGTAAGTTCTTTCACCCCTCCTGAGTTGTGGAAATGATCAGTGGTAACATCTTGTAGTAAGGAATTTAGGAATTCTGATACATGAATGATAAGCACAATCAAATTAAATAACTGTACTTACTTACACTATCAACATACATACATATACCAAAAAGTGGTTAGCAACATATTGAATAAGTAGATAGTATACCTACTATATGAATCAGAATAAATTTCTGATTCGACTTTCGTAAAACAATGTTAATTGTTTGGTTTTCTTGCTAGAACTACAAATAATTTATAACTTGAATGAAACAAATTTTGTCCTGTTTTCTCACATCTCCTGATAAAATTGAGGCTACTATTCTTCTTCATCATTTCAAGATATACCTTTTTATATTCGTCTTTATCTTCTTCTGGTATCTTAGCTATAATGGGGTTGATACTGTAGCAAAATTCTGTAAATGAAAAAAAAAAAGAAAAACAAAGATTTCATTTCAGAACTGCCATCCTCAGTAACTTTCAGTCTGCTCTGATTACAATTTTGAGAACAACTTACTTCCCAAACTGTTCGATTCCCTATCAATTGTTTGTAACAAATTTGAGGCGTCTCAAATTATCTTGAGTCATGGATTGACTTGTTTCGAAAATATGTTAGGCAATACTTACTTTATGAAACTGATTATAAATATCTATATGTGTATGGAACAGTCATTGCAATACATTTGAAAAAAACATTATATCTCTAGCCTTATAATGGTTCAAATGAAATGTATTTATTTCAATGTCACACTGTATATCGTATATCAACCTGCTTTATCTCAACTTGTAGTCTAGCAGATGAAAGTTATCAAGAGTTCCTTGTACTGGAATGATAGTTACTACTAGGATTTTACTGATGGCCCAACGAATATTTCCATATAGATATAATTCAATAGCATGTCGCTATTTTTATCTCTGGAATAATAACCAATCTATACGGAATAATAAGTAGTTCTTGAGTTTGAAGGAAAATAATAACAAACAATACAAAGTATAGTTGGAACTTCCTGTCTTCATGTGATTGTTTAGGAATGCTTGTACTGTGTACGGGATGTTTCCGAGTATGGAGCAGAATTGGAAAACTAACATTCTTGTAATTTTTCAGCTTATTGGCATAGAAAATATGGAAGAAAAATTCAGCACATCGCCCTGTGGTTCATCAACTCTGAACGAACGAATCGCCAAAATAGATGGAGCATCTCAGCAATCAGTCGTGCGATCTTTACCAAATTTGTATCGGTATTGACCAGTTCTTCAGAGACAAACATCATTCCATCAGACAGTGCGTGCATTTTTATTGAAATGAATTGGGGTTAGGTTTTTATTAAATCATATTTGGCATTTTTTCACAGGGAAACTGGCCGCATGATATTGTTCTTCATGGTTTCAAACCCACATATGTGAATTTTCATAAGATGCCTATGAAGGGTTTCAGAAAAACAGGCACATCTAAACAGCATTTTTGCGAACGTAATAATTATTTACTCGGAAACGGTGAATTCAACATAAAAAAGTATAACTCGTTTTTCCTTTCAAATCATGATTTTCCACCTACCGGAGCCATTGAACGTTCCAAAATTCGTAGTTGATTTGAAGTCACTATTTATTCGAGACTGAGAATGAAAAAAATGAAGCCAATCCTGTTTATTCGGAATAAGGTGATGTTCTGCTTATGGAGGTTCGAAAGCATGAGGTTAGATCTCCTGTAAAAAAATGCCTAATATGATTTCATGAAAAATCGACCCCTTTTTAGTTCAATAAAAACGCACGGCACTGTCCAAAATGATGTGCATCCCTGTAAAACTGATCATATTGATGGTTTTTCATACCACACCAAATTTGGTTGGAATCGCATGACTAATAACTCAGATATAGAGGGGGGGGGCGTTTAAAGTGAGACACGCTGTACATGATATAATAACTCAGAAATGACCAAAGCTAGTCAATATTTCTCGACGGATTCTGAATCAGGATTGAAATTGCTGAAACTTTCGTGATTTTAGGGAGTCTCTATCTCTCACATCAGTTACCGAGATCCCAATGGTGAGAATCGAATTTGGGACACACGATAGATATGTTGTTTGGAACCTATTTCTCTATATGGATCATTCCTTACCATCAAATGCCTGTTCATTGGGAAACTGATACTCCCTATGTTCACTTTCGAAATCGTAATCAGTGAATCCAGATTCCTGCAACGCTGTTCTGTACTCTTTCTCGACATCCTCGCAAAAATGAAAGGGCGATATCAATTTCTCGTGCCCATACTGTTCCCATTTGGGATGTCTCGACATCGTATCATAAAATTCGTTGCCAGATATCCTCTCACCAAAAGTCAAAAACATCTCTGCACCTGGTTTCAGCATTCTGTACATATTCGAAAATGCTTGCCTGAAATTACGGATGGCATTATTATAAATTATATACAGGATTCAATCGAGATAAATATTGTTGGTTGTTCCTATTCGCAGCAATAATTGATTGAACAAACCATTCAATTTCCTACGCTTGTGGCAAAAATATTGTTTCTAACTCATGCGGAAAATGTCTTGCCCGCATTTGACTGCTCGCCCGAACTCGCTTCGTGTCTTGTGGGAAAGTATCTCTTTCCGCACTTGTTAGGAAATAGTATATTACATAACTAGAGTGGAGAGTGGCATATTTCGCACGAGTGGACGTTTAGCGGCGAGTGCGGAAACGAAACGAGCGTAGGAAATGCAATTTCCAACAAGTTTTGTACACTATTTTTCCTAAGACCACAAATATTTATATTATATGAGTGTTTATAAGACCAGAGTGAGGATCATGTTTCTAATCATATTCGATCACATGAAGGTGATATCATTATCATTATTATTCAATTTTACTTCAATATTTAAATGACATCATTAGTTTAACGTTAAATTAACATTAACTTAATATGAACTTGACATTAACTCAACATTAACTGAACATCAACTCAACATCCACTTAACATCAACTTAACATATATTCAACAGTTTCTTAACATTAACTTGAAATTAACTTAACATTAACTTGAAATTAAATCAACATTAACTCAAAATTAACTTGACATTACCCTAAAATCAAATTAACATCAACTCAATATCAAATTGACATTAACTTCAAATTAATCACTAAATTGCCAATACATTGACATTAACCCACTAAGCAAAGTAATATCTCAACAATATTGCAGCAATATTTCAATGTTATGTGTAATGTTACATCAGATATTGTCGCTATCTTACTGCAAGGTCGCAGCAACTACTGAAACGGACGTTCAGCAATATTATGAATGTAATGTTCGCAAATGAATCATTCCAGCAGAGTTATTGTAACATTGTGTATGAAGTAAAGTAACATTTCATACTCAATGAACGAATGTAATCTTATTGTTATATTTTGTTAAGGTAACTGGCAACATAAAATAAAAAGTAAAGGAAAATTACATATTTTATATTATGAATTATACATAGTAACAATATTCTAATAATCGAATAATCGTGTCGACTATTTCATAATTTAAAAGTGGATTGAAAAAATTTCTAAATATTTTTGATATAACGGTACTAGGTCTCATAGGCACTGCACTGCATAAGAACCTGGAACAAAGGAAATAATGATAAAATAAAGTAGTCAGGAATCTACCTGTTAGTTGAGTTACTTCATCTACCGGTTAAACTTGAGAGTTGAGGATTGTATACTTGATTCTGGAAATATTCATTTTTCAAGGTATGCTGAGAGTATCCTCATAATATACACTGAAGATAATATAAATATTTCTCAGCATCTAGAGAATATTCTGAAGAACGATATTTGAGGTTGTTTTAGAATGAATTGTGAGTGCGAGCTCAAAGTTTTTTCTACAACAGCTAAGTGCAGTAAAATGAGAGATAAGATTTGATGATTCGAGCAATGATTCTACTATCACTATGAGGTTAAACAAAACCTCAATGTCCCTAAATGTTTCAGTAATAAGAAGGATTGATTTCATATAATTTGTAATGTTTTATAGAGTTCCTGATAAAGAGCCGATAAATACCCGAAAGCTCAAACAGAAACAAAATAAGAAAGTAGGTACACTTTGATTCACTTTGACTGCATTTACTGACTGAATTCACGAGGTTGTCCTATAACTTTGAGTAGGTATACGAATAACGAATAATTATAATCATTCTATGTTATTTTTTGTCGATCGAACGATCCGCTTAGATCAATGAACGATGTATGAATTTGTAAAATGTATACCTAACCTAGAATAACTGATGTTGACTTACCTGACCATCAACTGCTAACGGCGATTCAAAACCTTCCCAACTGCCTAATATCACATATCGCCAGATCACCACTTATACCTGAATTTATGTTCCAAAGTATATTATTCATTGGTATCATTTGCCGTTTGGACCTCTACAACAACAAAATACCTGTTACCGAAGCCAAACACGAACAAATATGGCGACTAAGATAGTGGCGTTTGTCGAATGCAAGTTTGCGACTGCGCGTAGGCATTTCATGAAATGGCGTCTCTCGATCGATACCCAATGTAGCATTTTGTATATTTCAGCTATATTACATTTTTTATTCAAATATGTGTTGCATCCCATAAGTTGTAGCAATATTGTTTGTAGTTACCTCATGTTATTTACAAACTCAATGAAGTATCAATGTTGAGCAACATTACAATTGAAAATTCCATATGTAACGTTGCACTGATATTGTTCGTAGTTGATCCATGTAATGTTGCAATTTCAATGAGAATTTATAGTTGATGCAATATTGCTATTGAAACTTAATTGAAAGGGTCATTTTGTAACTTACAAACAATTTGTCAGTAAGTTTTTCTGTTATATCGTCAACACGAATATAGCAGCAAAGTAGATACAATATTGTATTTTCATATTACGGAAGAAGGCTTCACAATATATTGTGGCAATATTTTGTAACATTACATGTTTAGTGGGAATTCAACTTTCAATTAAATTTAACTTGATTTCAACTTTTCATCAACTTAACATTACGTCAACATTAACGACAATAACTCATGTGAAATCGACATTAACTTTCCATTAACTTGACCATAACTTAACTTACCATAATTCAGCATAATAATCATTCATTGGTATATCATAATCTATAGACCCTGTTACTGTGCGATTTTCGAATATTTCCACCCATGTTAGTTTTACTTTCAAACTTTCTAACTGATATATGTTGTCATAGTGAAACGAGTCACTTTATCAATAAAAAATCAATGTGTTTTGTGCTGTTTTCATAGGTGGTCGTAGGAAAATTACTATTACCTTGTGTTTTGAATCCAGTGCATTACCATGAATGAAAATATATGGTCGAACCTTCCTACGAATTCTGGCGGAATAGAGTCACACTCAATATCGAATTGTATTATTTTCATCCTCTGGTGGATAATCGTCCTTCTCGAATGTTCCACCATAGGTGTCGTTACGTCACTTCCTATGTACTCCTTGAAATTCTCAGGCAGATGAGGTAACAGAACTTCTCTCGTGTTTCTTCCACATCCCATACCGAATTCCAGAATTGATTCTCCATCTTTCCATTTTATCTTGTCCTTATATTTTTCCATGTATTTCATGTTTGCTAATATCGTTATGTTGTTGTTTCTGGACCATAGTTCTGGTTGGATCATTTCTGAAATATATACAGGGTGTCTCACGGTCGATGCAACCTTAAACGGATCGTGATCTACAGATTAGAAATATTTTCAGAGATGCAGTGTTGCCGCTTAGATATCAGAAACCTAATGTATTATTGCTTTTCTGAATGATTGATTGATTACTTCATGTATCCTTTGCTATACCCATGTCTAACGGTTCTGGAGTTGATTATTATTTTCTATATTTTTTGTCCAAAATATAGCTCTCAATGTATCTAGATACATAAAAACTTGAAATTTTTTGCTTAACATACGAAGGTCCCACTGTGAATATTAGTTTTGTTTGGAGAAGTTAGCTCTGCATTCTACAGCATCGCTGGAAATCGCTGATTTGACTGAAAGTATCGATTTAATATTATTTTCAAATCTCCCACCCATTTTTCAAAAATGACTCCACCCACCTTTTGATCAATTTTATCAGAGCAGAGTCTGATTTGATTCCTTCTTGGTAAAATAACTGAAATCGAAATGACACTAGTTATAGACTATACAGTGTCATTCATAAAGTTCGTATCATATGGGAAAAACTTTCAATAATAATTTATTTCGGAATTCTATACTTGGTCGTTAAGTTTTTGCTCCGAAAGAGAAAGAGTTACGTGACTTTAGATACACGTCGAAAGTTGATTTTTTTTTCAATTTAATCGCTAAAAATAGAATTATTTGTTCGAATTCCAAAGAAGATCTTTGAGAATAGTTATTTCTATTCCCATTTCACACATTTCTCTCGAATTTGAACGTCCCATTGCAACTTTTAGTTCTTGAATTTTTTTTGATTTAACTTCAACAAAACTATCCTAGACTTTGGTTAGATGTGTAGAGTTTGATGATATTTTGAAAAATGACGTTGACATCATTTCAGTACTATTGTATCGAACTTATAGAAATTTGAAGCGGGGATTATAATCTTCTGAAGAAAATCATATCTCAGTCGATAATCAGTGATTAAGAGTAAGGATCATGATTCACTCACTAGAATGAAACAGTTTTGTCGGTGTTCATTTCTTTAATATCACATACATTTCGTAGAAATTGAAAAAATATCAAAAACTAAAAGTTGTTATTGAACGTTCAAATTCGAGACACGCATACATAAAATTGAAAAAAAAAACATTTTTTTTTATAACAAACTTTCTTGACATTCAAACTCTATACGTGCAGTAAGGACAAATCAGATGAATTGCCCCAAGGATAAGTGAAAATTAAAAATGTCTCCAAACCTATTTCAAAACAAAGTGATACTGACAAGCGGATTAATTTTTCTTTCAGGCTCTCCAAAAATAAAATCTTCAAACGCAGTGACATTGTGAGGCAAATCATCTGATTCTTCCTCTTTACACGTACATAGATACATATTGAAATAATACTCATTTTCGAATATATACCACCTCCTCGACATACCTATAGAAATTATCTATGCTCATTCGGAAGAAACTGATCAGAGTGCTTCGTTTGTTTATCTGCTATTTTATACTAGCTAGGTTGATTAAAAAAATTCGTTCAAGTCACAATGTCGCCATATTGATTTTAGACAAAATATCTCCTGCACGGTCGTTTCGGAATCAAATGTTCCCTTGTAATATGTCATTGTGAAGGGTTTTTTTTGCTCTATCGAATGTCGTTGAAATATATAAAAGGATCTGTTCAAAATTCTTGACCTCTCATGAAAAATATGGGTTTTAATTTCGAATTTCAAAATTCTAAAATAAAAAACAACTGAATGACGCTTTGTCCAAAGATCTCGTTATTGTGACCGTTATTTGAAGGAAAAAATATTATGTTACCTCCAGAACTCTTGTCTCTATCACTCTGAAAACAATTCGATTTGAGAAATATTATTTTCAAAAAAACAACACAACATGGAATGAATTCAACCAAACTGGAACTGACTATTCATATAGGAATCCACTGGTATATACATTCAGAAATCTATTCTTTTCTATCGAAATGCATATCTTCTAATTATTAGCACAAGAAAGAAATGTCAAACCCATAAATCTTCTAGGTTATTAAAAATAATGATGGTATACCAAATGAAAACATCGGAACGGAAATTAACTCTAAATAATTCTTATTGTAGACAGGAACAAACACATACGATGTCCTTATTTCTTATCTATACTGCGAACTTTGTTACGTGTTATTTCGAATCAGTTTTGTGAGGTTGACTAATTCTCCAATAATATCAGAATTGAGGTTATTATTTTCGATCAAATTCGTGCCAAATGACATTTCACAAATATAGAGTGGCAATCAATGGTTAGGTTTCCTTGAGGGGCCACTTACCTATTCTATATTGATCATTTCGTGAATAAATAGTATTTGATGCTGTCATTCGTTATTTCAAATTATGGAAAATACTTTTTTTTTATTTATTGAAAATTGGCACCTTCGAAAAACGTCAGGCACCTTATGCTAGGTATAAAAAAAATATCAAATTTTCACTTATCTTTGGACGTTTCGGGAACGAATCTGCTCCCGTTTTTATATATACCATCATTTCTCTTCTCCAAACCTTCTTCAATACAAATTGTCACTGACAAGCTAGTTAATTTTTCTTTTAGGCTCTCTGATAGGAAAATTCTTTAAACGCAGTGACATTTTGGGGCAAATCGCACCTGATTTGTCCTCACTACACGTATATTGAAATAATATTGATATATGATAATAATTTCATTCTATAGAGACAAGGAGAGTAAATCCCAAATAATCTGGATTTTTTTTTATCGCTTGGAGCGCACGAAAGGAAATCCCTATAATGTTCAAAAAACAACGTGCGTTCCTAGGGAGGATAGGAACAGGAGGTAGGTATTGGAATTTTTTTTGTACTTCTGGAGATTATATGTTGTTGGGAACACTTCCTCAGGCAATGAATTCCAGAGCCTAGCCGTTCTATGGATGAAGGAGTGTTGATGAAGTGCTGTTCGACATCTTTCGAGGTTGACAACGAAAGGATGTGCTGACTGGGCTTGTCTAGTTCGTCTGACTGGTATTGCTAGTGAAGGGATGATAGCAGAGATTTCCGAAGACCATTTCCCGTGGAAGTATCGATAGAAAAGTGAAAGGTCGCCGACCTTTCTACGGTGTTTCAATGATGTCAAAGAGTGAGTGAGTGTGGCGTCACCCACCAGGCGAATGGCTTTTCTCTGGATGGAATCTAAGAGCATCAGCGTATGTTTTGGTGCTGAACCCCATATGTGGGAACAGTATTCTAGAACAGGCCGTACCTGCGCTTATAATAAATGTACCAGCTCCTCAATTTACCTACAGACAGTTATTATTTCAAGAATGTACAGAGCTCTGATTTCTGAAGAAAACGCGGTTAGCGATAGTGAACTATAGTTAGGGTTAGTACTTCGAAATAACGAAATAAATGTTTTCACTGAAACAGACCCATTCAATCATGGTTCGTATCCCAAGCAAACAACGACAGATTGGAAAGTTTACTCAATGCCACTCCTCAATCAACTGATATTTCATCTTCACGCCCCTGTTTTCGACACGAAAACCGTAAAAGTTCGCAATTGTATTGGTCGCTCTTTGGTCTCGGCCCTCTTTGACCGCAGTGGCGTATTCATCTGTTCCTTTCTCGGTTCCTTTACAGAGTTCTTTGAGGAACATCAACTGATTATTTAGCGATAGACAAAGTTGCTTCTTCGTTAACACGATAATTTCCTCACCATCCCATGATCTGGCCCTAGAAACCAAGAAGTCGTTGATATACATATTTGAATTAATAGACGATTTCTCCTCGGCATTTTCACCGATTTTACTCAATCAAGATGTTACAACGTATAAGTTTTTTGTCCTGAATCTACATTCATTGTTTCGTTCAATCTGAGACTCATTCTCAGGGTTTCATTCATATCAATTTAATTCTCACCTTGTATATCTGTTATATCAAGTATCAATACATTGATGATAGCAGATGTTTCTCTAGGGATATGCTTCTCCTCAGGGGCTCACAACTTGTGAGTACGGGAATGATGAACCCGAGGTATTCCTAACCGGATATTCACCATACATCAACGTGTCTTGAGTGATATTCTCTTATCTCTTCCTTTCTCAATTCATCCTATCGCCCTTCCTTGGCCAACTCCTCTTCTTCTTTCCTCTTCTCCTCCTCCAAGTCCAACCTCTCCATTGACAGATGAAGCATTTTGGGACTGTCTATGCTGTCTTGCGCCACATAGGACAATATTTTGGCAAAAAAGAGCTTTCTCTGCTGGGGAATCGAGCCTAACAATCCTTACACTATGTCCACTGCACTATAGGAACCTTATTGACGAATGATATGAATAGAAATATATCAAGATGCACTTCATAATATAGTAGAATAATAATTATCTTTGAGACTAGAGAATAATAAGTTGAGTCAAGGGAAACATTATGAATATTCATACAAGAATAACATCCATATCATATTTTGATACGATTCTGTATACGACCTATTCTCAGAATATTCTTGGGATAAACCGAATTGAAAGTTCATGGATTATTTGTTGCCAGGATGATAATATTCTATGATCATTCTGAGAACATTCTATCAGAATATTCTAAAATAAGTTCGAACGTTCTGAACGTTGTCAGAGTATACGTAAAATATTCTGTGCTGTTTAGGATATTACCTAAAATATGCCGTTGTTTTTGTTCTGAGGAAAATAGGAGGTCGTTGGTATTGCAATAGTGGAATGAAAAGACGCAACAAACGCGAATGCAAACAAGAACAATAAAATTGGAAACGAATCAGAATTCTTCGTATTGTGACGTGAGCATGAGACGTTGTGGTGGGGTAAACAAAGAAATGGCACAGAAAAACAAAATCAATACTTCCAATATTCTTCAAAGACCTCTTTGGTAAGTGCATATTACGTCTCAAAAATCATCCTCATGCCAACATTTCAGAAACATCTCAAAACATCCTAGGGATACTTATTCAGTAGGCAAACAGAGAAACGCTACAGAAGAACAAAAACAATACTTTCAATATGAAAGACCTCTTTGGGAATGCATATCATGTCTCAAAAATACATGACGATGCCTAAATTTTCAAAACATCCCCTAACATACCAGGAATACCTCTCAAAGGCACACAAAGTAATGCCACAGAATAACAAGAATAATACGTCGATATCCTTCAAGGAACTATTAGGCGAGTTCATATCACGTCTCAAAAAACATCTTCATGGCTTACTATTTATTCACAATAAAGAATCATAGGATGAGCAACAAGGCCACGTAGTTCAAGGCTACCAACAAAATGTAGTGCCAAAACAGTTCGAACTCTTGAAAATATAGAACGTGTTTGACAAGCGATATCAAGAAGCCCTCGCCG